CGGCACAGAAAATTGAAGGCCACCTCTCTCTGCTATTGCCCAACTGCACATTAGCTGAAAACCGCAGCTGGGTTCCTGGTTGTCCTTTGCCTTGGATAAATAAAACTGATCACACCTGTGGCACACGTGGCTGGTCTGGCGTGACAGGAGAGCAGGTTAGGAAGGATTTTGGGGGGGTGCATGGTGTGGTGTAGGCTTTGGGATGGATGATGTGCCCTGGGCTGGTGGTGCGGTGGTGCAGTGCTGCAGTGAGTCTTTTGTGTGGCTCTTTGGCAAGAAGCCTCCTCCTTTCTCCGTGCCACCAGGGAGGGTGGGAATGGAGGGGTGAAGTCAGGCCACTGAATTGCTGGGACCTGGCTTGGGTGACTTTCCCCGACGGTGCATGGAAAGGGCTTTCCAGACCTCAGCACTAGGGCCTTTGCCTGGGTGGAGGGTTTGATGACGGCGTGTTGACACCGTGTTCAAGTGAGGATTGGAGAGCCTGGCTCATAAATCAGCTTTTGCTGACCACCTGTATGTCCTCCATGTCCTTTTTCCAACGCTTTCATTGCTTGTCGTCACAGCTCGCTGGGGATCAGCGGGTGCTGGAGCAAATGGGCTCGTTTGCCATCTACCTTGTTGGCTGTGGGGTCTGGCTCCTCTTCAGGGCACAGAGCAGGACCTTGCCAATGCCGCCACTGTGACCTGGGCTCCTTCTTTTTCCCACCTCACCTTGGAGGTTGGGTTGAGCCATATGAGCAAGTAGGGCGTGCAGTGCCAAAAAATGGGGGGTAGGAGTGGTGCGTCGCCTGAAGCCTCCATGCAGGGGACAGTTTTACCTCTTGCTTCTGCTTAGAGATGGGTCTGGAGAGCCTCAGGGAAGGTCTCTGATTATGGAAAAACCCCTCGCAGAACGGCGGTGGTGCAGGGTGTAGGAGAGTGCGTGTCTGCCGGCGCGGGTGGGTTGAGCTCATGCCAAAGGAATTTCAGGGTAACGTGTTTTTTTTTTGTTGGGCTCAGGCCAAAGGAATTTCAGGGTAACGTGGAGATGCCTCAGCCAGTCCCCGCCGGTGTCTCCAGGAAGCTCAGGCTGGCTCGGTGGGGCTGGTGGGGACGCAACGCGGCCGTGCTGGGACCTGCTGGGCTCCACCCAGCTCCGCTGGCGCCCGTTCAGCTCCTCGGCGGGTGAGCCCTGGCACGGTGAGCCTGC